GGGGGGGGGTCCCACCTTGCAGCCCCCCGATGCTGCTGGAGACGAGGATGCGCCCGGCCCTGCGGCGTTTCATGGCGGGCAGGAAGGCCTGGATGGTGCGGATGGCCCCGAAGAGGTTGACCTCAAAGAGGGTCTTCATGGCTTGTTCGGAGCAGGTCTCCAGGGGGCCCATCAGTCCCACCCCCGCGTTGCAGACTGCGGGCACGGCCCTGGTGAGGTGGGCACCGCAGCCCCTGCCCACTGCCCCACACCGGGAGGTGCCAAAACAGGAACGTGGTGACCCTTCCCCATTGATGACCCACAGCACCCCCAAGCCCAGCTCCTGCCCCGATGAACACGTCCCACCCCACCCTCGGGACTGCTGGCACCTCCACGATTTGGTATCTGCTCCTGGTGCCCCAGGGAGGGTCGGCAACCCCAGAGAGCCCCCCGCAGCCACCCCAGGACAGTGGGGGCACCGGGGGAGAGCCGTACCCAGCACGTCCAGCCGCTGCTCCTGTACCCGCTGCGCGGCAGCCGCCACCGAGCGCAGGTCGGTGACATCCAGCTGCAGGACCTCCAGCGTGTCGGGGCAGCAGCCCCCCAGCCGCTCCAGCAGCCGCTTGCCCTTGGCCAGGTCACGCATGGTGGCGTACACTGGGGGAGAGACCACGGCCGCGGTGACACCGAGCCGCTCGGCCGGGCTGGGGGACTCCAGGGGGGGTCGGCTCCCCCCGGGACAGCGTCACCCCTTTACCTTTGAACCTGCCATCGGCCGCCAGACGCGCGGCCAGCCCCAGGCCGATGCCCGAGGAGCAGCCCGTGATCAGCACCGTGGTTCTCTCCATGGGCCAGCGGTGCCAGCTGAGGGGGCCACGGCTTTTAAGAGGGCTGGGAGGAGGGGGGGGATCCCCCCATCCCACCCCCACGTCACCCCACGTCACGGCTGTTGTGTCTGCCGCCTTATCTCAAGGCCCCTCCACCCACCTCCCTGCCCACCCCCGGGGCTCCCCCCGCCTTGATGCTGGCGCAGGTGCTGCGATAAAGACCCTGGGGGCCAGGACCCCCCCTCTGGAGGAGGCTCCGGGACACAAAGGGGAGCTGCAGCCCCGGGGGTCTGGGCCAGCCCCCGCTGTGCCGCGCCGTGCCAGGCTCCCCGGCTGTTGGCACGCATCCGGCAGCGCCTTTCCCTGCTCTGCAGGGCCCGGGGGCCAAGCACCGCTCCCCTGCCCCCCCCCGTTTCACACAAATTCCCCACTGGAGAGAGGAGATGGACACACACACGGGAGAAAAGAGCGCTCGGCAGCCAGGCCTTTAATGGCTGCTCAGGCTGGCAGCTCCACGGCCAGGCTCAGCCGGGGGGAAAAAAAGCTTAGAAATCCCTGGGATGGGGAATTTCTGTGTCATCACAGAAAACTCCACAAAGTTTCTACTGATACAAAAGGCACCAAGCGTGGCCAGGGCCGTTCGGGCAGGTCCCTGCAGGGACTGGGGGCTCCCCGAGTGTGGGGAGACCCAGGAGCACTGGGCCAGGTCCTCACTCCCCCCAGGGCAGGGGCTGCTCTGCCCCGGCCCCGCTGCCACCCCCCCGGCTGCTTCTCCTCCCCCACCACCAGCAGGGACGTGTGTGCCCTGTCCCTCTGTCCTTCCGCACAGTCCCAGCTCCTGTCGAGCTTCCAGCTGGAAGTACTGGGGCAGCAGAGCCCTCGCCTCCGGGCTCACGCCAGGAGCAGCCCAGCTTTCCCGGGGACAGGCTCAGGGCTGGTGGGGCTGAGCATGGTGCAGGATGGGTCCCTGGGGCAGAACCTGCCCCCCACCCAGCTGCCAGCCCCCCCGGGGCATCTCTTCCCCACGCAGGGGACACGGTAGGTCCCAGCTTGCTGGGGGCCACGGGGGCTTTGTGCCTTCATTCCAGCATGGCCAGGACTCGGCTGTCAGGCCAGGAGCTGTGGGAGCCTGGAGGCAGGAGGGCAGGGGGTCTCTGCCCTCCATCCTTGGGGGGCTCTGAAGGCACAGCCCAAAGTCACGCCGGCCCGGCCCGGCCACGCCGCAGGGTGCTGGGGTAGTATTTGAGGAAGAGCTTCCTGGAGATCTCCAGCGTGTCCCCAGTTGGCACGGACGGGTAGCGCTTCTTGTTGTAGACGAAGCCTCTCTCCACCTGGAAGACGGCCTGGTTGAACTGGTCCTGGTGGAAGGGGGTGCCCGAGTTGAGGCTCTCCACCAGGGCAGAGACGAAGAGGCTCCAGCGCACCCCGTAGTAGTCCAACACCAGCCCCCCCAGCTGTTTGTTGGCGTAGTCCAGGATGTTCCCGCTGGGTCCCCAGAGCGTCACCTGGTTGCGGGCGTTCAGCTCGTACTGCTCGGCCTCCCGCTCGCTGGTGGCCACGGCGCGGGCGCTCTCCAGCCAACGGCCCAGCAGGAAGAGGCTGTGGCTGGAGAGGAGGCTGTCGAGCTCCGGCAGCAGGTCGTAGACCAGGACGCCACCGGCCGTCAGCAGCTCGGGCAGCGCGTGGCTCTGGAAGGCACGGCGGATGCTCAGGTAGTACTGACTCACCAGCTGCTGGGCCGCCTGGCGGGTGACGTCCACCAGGTCGTAGCGGAAGGTGGGGCTGGAGCCCAGCTCGGTGCCGGCGCTCAGCAGCAGGCGCCAGGCCTCGTAGACGTCGCTGGCGTTGTACCACAGCTCGGTGTCCATGCGCAGGGAGGGCCGGCGCACCAGCGGGCTGCGGTTGTGGTTGACGCAGACGCCGGTGCAGTTGTAGACGCTGCGGAGGAGGAGGCGCCAAGCGCTGGCGGCCGCGGCATTAGGGGCACCGTAGCGGCGCTGGGCGTAGCGGGTCACCCAGTTGGGGAGGTCTAGAGGCTCCTGGCTCCAGCCCAGCTCGTTCATCAGCTCGTACACCATGTCGTTCTGCTCGATACCCTCGGGCACCACCCCGGTGCCCACCATGGTGGAGTTGGGGAAGCGCCGAGCGGCGAAGGGGCCGTGGTTGATGGCCTCCACGGTGCCGAAGAGGCCGTGGTTGCCCCCGAAGTTGTGCAGCATGCACCAGATGAAGGGCTGCCCGTAGAAGGACTCCGTCCACTGGTAGACGGGCTTGGACTCGGCAAAGAGGTCGAGGACGATCATCCTGCCGAGGGGCACCCCGTGCAGCAGGGCCCGCACCTGCGCCGGCTGCCAGAAGTCCGGCTGGTGCTGGAAGAGCCAGCCCTGCATCAGCCACAGCGCCTCGGGGTCAGCTGGGGACAGAGGGGCACAGGGTGAGGGTCCCCTTCAGGCCACAGCGGGTGTCCCATGAACCCCAGGGCCATCAACGGCCCCTCCTGGAGGGATCTTGAGGGTCTGGCACCAACGGGGTCTACCCAGCGCTCAACCTGGAGCCCACGTTCCCCCTCGCCCCCCTGCTCTCCCCACGTGGAGCCCCATGGCCAGGCTGGCCCCACACACTGACCCACCTCCTGTCATCGACTTGAAGACGGCGCTGCTGACCCGGGAGAGGTAGGCAGGGTCAGAGGAGCCGGGCGTCATCTCGTTGAAGGTGTCGGCGCTATAGACGTGGTCGGTGCCAAAGTCCTTGATCAGCTCCTTCAGGAAGAGGGTCCCGATCACCTGGAACATGGGGTCCTGGGGGTCCAGCAGGTACGTGCACGAGTAGGTGCAGTCGAAGTGGCTCCAGCCCCCGAGGCGAGTGGCGTTCACCCGGGGGAAGACCCTGCACCAGAGGTGGGAGATGGGGATCAGGACAGGACCCCCGTGGGGACAGGGAGGCCAGTGCAGGCACGGGGGGGCCAGGAGCCACGTCGGCCTCGGTGCTGGCCGGAGGTGAGACCCTGGGAGGGCAGGGGGCTGGGACAGCGGGGAGGGGGCTGCAGCCAGGGCCGATCTGCCCCACGGGGTCTGTGGGACTGCACCTACCGAAGGACCCCCCCGGGCACGTGGCCCGCGAAGGCTGGGAGCACCGTGGTCATCCCCAGCGAGCGCATCCTCTCCACAATGCGGTACTGGGGGAGAGAGGGAGGGAGGGAGAGGGGGGAGAGGGGCACCCACCTCCCCACGAGGGGCTCCCAGTTGCTGCTGGAGCCTGAGGGAGGGCGCTCTGACCCCCGACCCCCCATGGGCCCCCCTCTCAGCCCCCACGAGGGCGTCGGGGGTGGCCATGGGGTGGGTGGGGTGGGGTGGGCAGCCCCGGTGCCCCCGGTACCTGGAGGTAGAGCTGTTTGAGGTGCCAGGCGGGCGGCAGGGGCCCTGCCCAGCCCCGCAGGTTCCCCATCCGGTTCCAGGCCAGGAACGCCGGCCCCGTGAAGTAACCGTCGATCTCCGACTGGTTGAGACCCAGGGACCGGTACACCTGGAGGGTGGGGGGGGAAAGGGAGGGTGATGGAGGCTCAAGTAGCCCCGTGGCCACCCCCACCACCCGGTCCCGCGGCTCCGGTACTCAACCCGCTGCCAGGCTGCCTCCTGCCCGGTGAAAGCCGGTGCCAGGTTGATGCCGCTGAGGGCCATCCAGTCGATCTCTCGTTCCCAGCGCTCCCAGTCCCACCAGACGAAGGAATAGCTCTGGGTACAGGCGTTCTGGTAGTACCGGTACCTACGGGGGAGCGGCGGGAGGATGCGGCGGGAGGATGCG